TTTTTTTTTTTGATATAATGAGATAAAAAGCGGAAATTTGTGTCTAAGCTCCAAAAGAATTTATCATATTGCTAAGGCTTACTGAATGCTGTTAAAACCTGGTAACAGTGAGACAATTCAAAAGGAAAAAGAAATAAAACAGATCTCAAGCCTTGAAGGTGATAGTTGCTAGATGCAGTTTTTCAAGGGGTCTGTTGAATGCCGTGTATTAACTGTAAGGAAAAAAAGAAAACCAAAAAAATTTGCAAGCATAGTTTTCATGGTAAGGTTTATGTGAGCTATAAAGTTAATAAGTTTGCAAACTACTCAAAAAATTACTTGTACATTTCGGAGAATATTGAAAAATGATGCTTTCAAATCTTTATGATTAGTGTTCACAGTTTAGTAGACTTGCTTTTAAACAATTTTACTCTCAGGAAGTCGCAAACGTTTAAAACTGTCGAACTGACTAAACCATCAATTCTAATTCACTGGTTAAAATTTAAACTACAGGTATATTTTCGCAGTTTCATCTCATCGTCAATAAAATAATAATATTTACTAGTCAACGGGGATATTTGATTTTGAGTATCAGGCATTCGACAAAATAAACTGTCAGATTAAAATATCAGAAAAGCACGAATAGGCATTACGATTATTTTACAGAAAAAGATGTGTGTCTGCTGATTCAGAAAATCCTGAGTACATTTTTTGACGCTTTACGTAATTCCAATTAGGTAGAAATAAGCCACTAGGTGGGGCTAGCGCAATTTTCACGCTGGGACAAATTCACGGTTTACTTTCCACGACACTAGGAGTCGTTAAAACTTTCCTAATCACTTTTCAGCTTGGTTAGAAAAGAACATCATTTTCTACTTTTTACTTACCTTCCTTGACTGGTCCTTCCTTTATTTATCAACAAGTTTCTATCGTGAACATGCTTTAAGTATTCAGTTCTTTTTAGACTCATGACTTCCTTTAATGTGTCATTTTTTAATCTGATTTTAAAATAGCTTGTGGCTTTAGATCACTATCTGTCATTAACCGACTAAACAGTTTATTTTTACTGAAAATTAGGTAATATTGACATTCAATCTTTAAAATTGGTAGTTAGTTTAAGAACCCCCTAAGTTA